AACATCTTGTGTCATAAACTCTCAGAAATCGGTTTCTCAGATCACACCATTGGTTGGTTCTCTAACTATCTTTCAGACCGGAGGCAATGTGTTCAACATAATGGTACTTCCTCCAGTTATTTAACAGTCAACAATGGTGTACCACAAGGCTCAGTCTTAGGACCCACCCTCTTTACAATCTACATACATAATGTAGGTAAAAACATCCCTAATGCATCCATACATTTCTATGCCGATGACACAGTTGTTTATTGTCGAGCTAAAACTGTTGCTAAGGCTTTCCAGCTTTTGAAATCTGCATTCAACAACATCCAGACTGATTTGTTCCACCTCAAACTTGTCCTAAATGCCAACAAAACCAAAGGGATGCTTTTTTCAAATAGGAAGTTGGTCCCAGCAGTTCTTCCTCTGATTTCATCCTCAAATGGTGTCCCCATTGAGTTTGTTGATTCCTATAAATATTTGGGTATCTTGGTCGACTCACATCTCTCTTTTAAGCTCCATGTGGAATACTTGGTAAAGAAACTGAAAGTTAAACTGGGTTTCTTTTTCAGAAACAGATCCTGTCTAACCCTGAATGCTAGAAAACGCCTTGTATCTGTGACTTTCCTTCCCTCCATTGATTACGGTGACATTATTTACATGAACGGCCTACAAGAACCCTGCAGATGTTGGATGCTGTCTATCATGGTGCACTAAGATTCATAACTGGCTGTGATTATCGTACCCATCACTGCACCCAGTATTCACTGGTTAACTGGACATCATTAACTTCACGCAGACTCTCTCACTGGTACATTTTCATCTTTTACTCACTTCTTGGTCTGTTGCCTTCATACATCTCCTCCTACATGTCTCTGCGTGAGTGCAGCTACAGCGTGCGCTCTCAGGACATTATTACCTGCAGTGTTCCCTCAATGAGGACTGAACTTGGCAAAAGGGCCTTCTCCTACTCCGCTCCTGTTTCCTGGAATATCTTACAAAAAGATTTGAAGCTCTCGACCTTGACCTCTCCAAGTGGCTTTAAGAATCTGTTGGACTCATAGCAGGGACCAATGCAGACATGTTCCTGTTTTTAGTTTTCTACATTCGCCTTAGAATCTAGCTGTTTTTTTTTTTTTTGTTACCTTTTTATTTTAGCCATTCCTATTTGTAAAAAAAAAAAAAAAAAAAACTGCAGTATGACTTTTTATAATTGTTTATTGTTGTTGCTGTTGTCCATTGTTGTCATCTTTCTTTGTTGAAATCAGGTCTCTCTTGTAAATGAGTCCTCGAGGCTCAATGGGATTTACCTGTCTAAATAAAGGTTGAATGAATACATGCATTCATTACATCTAGGCTTCCATCCATCCATCCATTTTCTTTACCTGCTTATTCCATTTTGGGTCACGGGGGTCGCCGGTGCCCATGTCCAGCAATCACTGTGCGAGAGGCGGGGTACACCCTGGACGGGTCGCAAGTCCATCACAGGGCTACATCTAGGCTTGATTACTGCAATTCGCTCCTGTTTGGTATCAGTCAGACCTCTATAGCATGACCACAACTGGTCCAGAATGCAGCAGCCCGATTTTTAACCAGTACAGGCAAAAGAGAGCACATTACACCAGTTTTGGCCTCACTGCACTGGTTACCGGTTCACTTTCAAATCCAGTTCAAAATACTGATGTGTCTACAAATCACTGAACAGTCCCCCCCAATCCATCTCTCTGATCTGCTACAACCGTATGTCCCACCACGCTCCCTGAGGTCAGCAGACCAGTTGCTCCTCACAGTTCCAGGAACTCGTCTTAAGCGCAGAGGTGACAGGGCCTTCTCTGTAGCAGGACCAAGACTCTGGAACGAGTTACCTCTGCTTGTCAGACAGGCCCCCTCCCTCTCGGTTTTCAAGTCCCGTTTAAAAACCCACTACTATTCAGTAGCTTTCAACACCAGATGATCTGTTTTGATCCTGTATGCTCCACACTGGTTTGTTGTCATTATCTGCATCGTTTTTATGTCTATATTCTGATTTACCTCATTTTGTATATTGCTTTGTGTGTTACCTGTTGTTTTGTCTGTACAGCACTTTGGTTGGCCTTGTTGCTGTTTTAAGTGCTCTATAAATAAAGTGGCATGGTATGGTATGGTAAAATCCACATTCATCCACTCATACATTTTTTTAAAATCTGCATCTTCTTTCTGGGTTGCAGGGAAGCTGGTACCCATCTACAGCTGTCACTGTCAGAGGCGGGGTACACCTTGGACAGGTCACAACCCACACAGGGGCACAAATAAATGTAAAAAGAAATAATTTGTTTATTTTACAAATATATGCTAAAATAACAACAGATAAGCTTGTACCCATAAAGAAACTGGTACCACTTTACAATAAGACTCCCCTTATAGATGGCTAATAAATAGTTTATAGACGTTATTAATTCCTCTATATGGACTTTAATAATTGTTTAGAATGCATTATTTAAGGGTGACAGACAAAACTGACCAGTTTCTTTCCAAATAGTGAGATAAATCTGTTCACCTCCATATTTCATCTAGAGTTGTTAAATTAAACATTTCAGACTAAGTGACTACCTTGTGAGCACAATAAGTATTTGTAAACCTATTTCTTTAGGATAATATTGTACTTTATCGCTGCATTATAAGTATCTATAACTAATATTAGATACTAAAAACCTTAGGTTAATAAATTATTGTGCTTACAAGGTAGCAACTTAGTCTGAAATGTTTAATATAACAACTCTAGATGAAATATATAGGTGAACACATTTTTTTCCACTATTTGGAAAAAAAACAGGTCAGTTTTATCTCTGTCACCCTTAATTAATGCATAATAAACTATTATTGATTTATAACGTCTTTATAGAGGAATTAATAACACATCTATAAACTATTTATTAGCCATCTATAAGGGGAGCCTTATTGTAAAGTGGTACCGAAACTTTTAATCTTTGCATTATAGTCATGTTTCAAACTATTCATTTGATCCTACTTAGTATCACAGGAGCCTTGAAGCTTTTCATGAAGCGTTCAGCATATTGAAAGGGAACAGCCACTCGGTCGTTTGGTACGGCTGTGTTCACCACTGAACACAGAGCCCAGAGAGTGAAGAGTTGCCTGAGGATTTCAGACAGAAGAACGTAGATCAGCAGCCTCGTATTCCTTTGACCTAGACCTGTCACAATAACAAATTTTGCTGGGCAATTAATTGTCTTAAATTACTGCAATAAACGATAATATTGTTTGAAATTAGTAATTATTGTCAAATTTAAGAAGAAATGTTGGTTAATTTGTTTTTCATGTAGTACCTTTTTTCAACCACTGGATGGCAGTATAAGACCGTTTGAATGGAAGGATGGATAGTGAGGGAGGAAGCAGCATCTCTCTTTAAGAAAAATGGTAGGGAGGCCCCTTGACGTGACATGGGCTGTCTTTCTTTGGTTCTCAAAATGGCAGATGCTCGGTGTGGTTTGAGCTCTTTAGCATAGCATTTTTCACACAAAGCTATTAATAAAAAAAATCTGTAAACAAGTTCTCAGCTTCTTTTTGCAGAGAAAAAAAAACTTTATACATAAAAGCATGGGTTTCAACTGTGAATTTTGAAGCTCCGACAAGACAGAGTTCCCCCACATAAAGCATAAAGTTCATAAGACTGAAGCAAACAACCAAGATGTGGACGCAAGAGGAAATGCGACCTTGGGTTGATCAGACAAATAGTGCAAATGAAAGGTAGGAGAAAAATGACAAGGAAACCATCCAGAACCATAATCTGAACTTTAAATTCAAGATCCAACACATTTTAAATCATAAGCTACTTTAAAGAAGATCCAGGAGGCTCTCTACAAGTCGGACAGGAAGTCACATCAATGCATGACGATAAGTACCAAAGTTTCTGGTACTCGTGACAAAACTGGAGCGTTTTGGCTCGGTCACAAAATTTGTTTTTATTATTATATTTATTATTGTGGAAAAAGTACAAACAAATATGTCTGCTTATAACTTGAATACTTTCTTTTAAGCTGCACAAGATACAGGGAAAGAAGTTACCAGATCAGTAATAAAGGTGCAGCACCCTTTAGACCCAACCGTTCTGATTACTTCAGGGAAACACTTCAGGTGAGAAACGGTGAAACTTGTGTAATCCCACTGAGTTACATTACGTACGGTTCCTGTGAGCAGCATGTCCCAAGCCTTTTGTGCCTTTTCAGCACATTCTGTAAAAGTGAAGCTGCCCGTCAGCTCCAAGTCAAACTGGATCTTTACTTCTTCTTGTAGTGGCTCAGTTCCTTCAAAGCCCACTTCCTGATGTCGATCTCCTGCCGTAACCTACAGTACTCGTTGGCCAGAACCTCAAACTCTCCGCCCAGAATCTTAAAGGACGATAGTTTCACCTCGGCAGCCTGCTGTTCCTCTTTACTGGACTTCAGCTCCAACTCCAACTTCTCCCTGCAACACGGATGAACACATCGGGTTACGATGTGGTCTTTGAAATAATCTATCAGGGCTGGACAGTAGTAACGGCACCAAATCTTGCCTTATTTTTCTGTGAGCAGAAATTGTGTCAGTGGTGTACGTGTCCAGCTGAAGTTTCACCATCTCAGTTCTTTGAAGAAAAAATAAGAAACACAGGGACATTCAGGTCACTCCCCTTTTATTAAATACAGCCGTAACATTACTCCCTCCAACCACCCAAACTAGGGATGCACAATATTGGATTTTTGGCTGATATCCGATATGTTAAAACTTATTGGCTGATAACAGATACCAACACAGACATTTTTCCCCCCAGACCTACTTACAGAGACTACATAGCTTTCTCTGCTATGGAGTTCAAATACTACATTATTCTGTATAGTCTTTGTCAGTTTGGCCTGCTGCCAAATGCAGATGCCAAAAAGGGGGTTGAAAATGATGCAACACTTCAACTTGGATTATGTTTCATGTCGAATTTATTCATGACGTTTACTCTCACTAACTCAATGACAACACTCGAACAGTGCAAATTTGTAAATTTTCACAAATCTAAACTCAATGGCGTGCATGATGTCATAACGTAGTGCTGGCACTGCAGGATCCTTTTCACTGGGTTGTCATACAAAAACACCACCTTTTATATCGATGAGTAATTTTGATGGAACGGCCGATGTCCGATATTTAACTTTATCGCTAATATCGATCGATACGATACCATGCCGATAATATCATGCATCCCTAACCCAAACAGCCCCTAACCACTTGAGGCACAGACTCTGAGGTCTCTGAAGGACTGCGGTGGGATGAGACCTTGAAATACCAGACAGCTGTGAGGAGGGGCCTCCATGGCTCTGACATGTTTGTCCAACGGGTCACACAAACAAGGAGAAGGATTTACACAACAAAGCAACTCCTTAAATTTGTGTTTGTGATCCTCCAATCATTCTTGAATCATTATTTACCCCCAACAAAAGTCTGTATGTTCTAATATCTTATGAACCACTGGATAATTCTTATTAAACTCTCACAAATTAATTAATGCATGTCCATCTACAACTGATTAACTTTGGAGCCAACCTGATTCAAAATGGCAACTACAGCCAGCAGAACTTGTAAATCATTTTTAAAATGCTGTGGTGGTAGTAAATAGTAAATGGACTGTACTCATATAGAGCTTTTCTATCTCATCAAGATTCTCAGAGCACTTTACATAACAATCGGTGTCCTCATTTAAGGATTCAAGGATTTGTATTGTCATACCAGCTCACATTTGCATGTTTTACGGTACGAAATTCGGACTCAGGTCCCAGATCAAGAAGCCTAACAATTAACAAATAAATAAATACAAAAGAAAAATTGTAAGATGAAGCTAAATTAAGTGCAGCTCAAGTTCAGCAATCTGACTGCTGCAGGGAAGAAACTGTTTCTGAGCCTGGTGGTCTAACTCAGCCACCTGCTTGAGGGAAAGGGCTGGAACAGACTGTGTGCAGGATGAGTGGAGTCCTTCATGATGCGGAGCACCCATTCACCCATTTACTCATTCATACAGCACTCTACTACAGTGTATATCTATAAAAAGAATAATCAGAGCTTTATCACATTCATACATCAATAGGACACACATCCAAGGCAATGAGGGGTTCAGTGTCTTGCCCAGGGACACTTCGGCATGCGACTGCTGGTGGAATTGAACCTCCAACTCTTACATTGGAGGACGACTGCTCTAACCACTCAGCCACAAGTGCCCCCCAAGTAATAGCTGAGAGTCTTTCACAACACATACTCCGAGTGCTAATATCCATCCATCCATCCATTTTCTTCCGCTTATCTGGGGTCGGGTTGCGGGGGTAGCAGCCTAAGTAGGGAGGCCCAGACTTCCCTCTCCCCAGCCACTTGGTCCAGCTCCTCCGGGGGGAATCCCGAGGCATTCCCAGGCCAGCCGAGAAACATAGTCCCTCCAGCGTGTCCTGGGTCTTCCTCTGGGTCTCCTCCCAGTGGGACGTGTCCGGAACACCTCACCAGGGAGGCGTCCAGGAGGCATCCTAAACAGATGCCCAAGACACCTCAACTGGCTCCTCTCAATGTGGAGAAGCAGCGGCTCTACTCTGAGTCCCTCCTGGATGATTGAGCTTCTCACCCTATCTCTAAGGGAGAGCCCAGACACCCTCTGAGTGCTAATAGAAAGCACAAAATGTACTTTCCAGTCTTTGACCAAAACAGCTATAATGCCAACAACATTTATCAACAAAAAATGATTATTGTCTAAAACCTGGCATGAAAGGGATCAGGTGAAATGCACTCCTTCAAGGAATGCCAGGTCTTTAATTGCTCTCTTTTAGTCTCCAACATTCAGTTCAAGGACATAACTTTCACTTCCTGCCAGTGACATCCCACCTACTGCCAATGAAACTCCATCTCCATCTTCTACCGTTTATCTGTATTCGAGTCACGGAGGCAACAGGTCCAGGAGAGACACAGACATTCCTCTCTCCAACGACACTCTCCAGCTCCTCCTGGGGAACGGCTAGGCGTTCCCATGCCAGGGAAGATTAACAATCCTTACAGTGATTTCTGGGTCTGCCCTGGGGCATCCTACCAGGGGGACATGCCTAGAAAACCTCTAAAGGGAGTCATCCTACTAATCAGGTGCCTGAACCACCTTAACTGGCTTTTGATGTGAAATAGCAGCATATTTCATAGCATCCATCAGTAGCATCTACTTCGAGCTTCCCCTGGATGACAGAGCTCCTCACCCTGTCTCTAAGGCTGAGCCTTCGAAAGAAAGAAGCCCATTTCAGCTGCTTAGATCAGAGATCTTGTTCTTTCAGTCATGGTCCAAACCTCATGACCAGGGGTGGAACATAGTCAGACCAGTAAATCCAGAGCTTTTCCTTTCAACTCAGCTCTACTTCACTATGACTGGCTGAAGAAATGCCCTCATGACTTAAGATGAGGCCTCAATCCATCTCCCGCTCCATCCTACCATCGCTCGTGAATAAGTTGCCCAGATACTTAAACTCCTCCACCTGAAGCAAAGACTCCTCCCTCACCTGGAGGGGACATTCCACCTGTTTCCAGTTGACAACCATGGCCTCAAACTCAGAGGAACTGACTCCCAACTGCGTCACACTCAGCTGCAAACCATCCTGGTGCATGCTGAACATCATGGCCAAAGATGCCAACAGATCTACATAAAGCAGAGACCCTAACTGTCCCAAACCAGGCACCCTTCTCTCCATAACTGCGCCTTGAGATCCTATCCATGGACACCACAAGCAGGATCGGAGGCAATGGACACCTACAACGCAAACAAGCTAGACTTTGTGTCAAGAATGTGGACACAGCTCCTGAATTGATAGCTCTTCAAAGAAACCCAGGGACCCCTTACTCTCCCAGCACCCACAGTCATAAGCTCCAGATCCACAAAACTCACATAGACTGGAGAGGTAAACTCCCATGATTTGCAATTGTAACAATACACTCAAACATTAGAAACTAACAGAGGTCATAATGTTATGGCTAATAATCAGTGTATACTTTGTTTTGTTTCCTGTATGTGCCTTCTGATGAAGCACTTTCTGTTTACCCAATTATATTTTAAAACTAAACTTTTTCTCATCAAAATTAAAAACAGTCCAGCATTTTAGCTCCAACATTTTCAAGCTTTTAACTAACACTTTATCAAACATTTAGTTTTTTCATAAAAGCAACGAGCATGCCTTACTTTATCTTCTGTAAGACTAATTCACATTTGCCTTCAAAGTAATCCAATTTCTTCCTGTCCAGATCTGTTTGGACCTTCAGCTTGTGGTCCAAGATGACAGACTGAAGAAGATGAATGCACTTAATCAGCTCCTGATTAGAAAAATAAGACATAAAATTATTATTGGGACACATTCGTAGGTATAGCATACACATTCATATACAATGATCATTTCCCCATTTCTACATAAATATGACCTAAACCAATCACATTTTCACACAAACCCTCATAATCTTGAGTGTACCCCACACAGGCCGACAGTGAGAGCAGGCTTTTTATATTTATCTGATACAATCTGGTTAGTTCATATTAATAATGAACCTTCTTCACACACCAGAGGTAGTCATGGAGTTCCTCAGGGTTCAGTGCTTGGACAGATACTCTTTATTATATGTATATTTAAAAAAAGGGTTGTACGTTCAATCATCCAGGTAGATAACAACAAAGGTTAAATCGTGAACGAGCTTGACTTTTTGCCAAGAACGTGAACACATCTCCTAATTTGGTTATACAGGGATATATACAGGGTGCTTTGCATGTGTTAAAAGTCTTTTTTTGAAATTCTAACAGGAGGTTGGCTTGAAACACAGCAGTGAAGGCTACAATGGGATAGATCTAGTTGGCAGGCCATAGACTGAGGAAGTCTTCTGGATGGGGGACGAAACGTTTCTCACTTAAAAAAATTGGGCCAGATGACACGATTTAACCTTTTTTCTCTTTATTATTTATGCTTCCATTTCATAAAGCTGTTTGAAGCATTTTCATTGATACTCAGTTATATTTGTCCATGGAACCCAATGAATCCAATCAGTTACTTAAGTTACAAGCATGTCTTAAAGACATAAAAATCTGGATGACCCTTAATTTTCTGTTTTTAAACTCAGACAAGACAGAGGTTGTGCTGCACGGACCTGAGCATCTTAGGAATAAGCGACATGCAGCTCGGGTGGTTGCTGAGGCAAAAACTCGGGCATAGGAGGAGTTTGGAGAGGCCATGGAGAATGACTTCCGTACGGCTTCGAGGTGATTCTGGTCCACCATCCGGCGTCTCGGGGGGGAAAGCGGTACGCCACCAACACTGTTTATAGTGGGAGTGGTGCGCTGCTGACCTCAACTCGGGATGTCATGGGTCGGTGGGCAGAATACTTTGAAGACCTCCTCAATCCCACCGGCATGTCTTCCACTGAGGAAGCGGAGCCTGGGGACTCTGGGTCGGGCCCTCCAATCTCTGGTGCTGAGGTCACCGAGGTGGTTAAAAAGCTCCTCAGTGGCAGGGCCCCAGGGATGGATGAGATTCGCCCGGAGTTCCTTAAGGCTCTGGATGTTGTAGGGTTGTGTTGGCTTACGCGACTCTGCAATATTGCATGGACATCGGGGGAAGTTCCCCTGGATTGGAAGACCGGGTTGGTGGTCCCTCTATTCAAAAAGGGGGACCGTAGAGTGTGTTCCAACTAAAGGGGGATCACACTCCCTTGTAAGGTCTATTCGGGGGTTCTGGAGAGGAGGATTCGTCGGATAGTCGAACCTCGGATTCAGGAGGAGCAGTGCGGTTTTCATCCTGGTCGTGGAACACTGGACTAGCTCTACACTCTCAGCAGGGTCCTGGAGGGTGCGTGGGAGTTTGCCCAACCGGTCTACATGCGCTTTGTAGTCCTGGAGAAGATGTTCGACTGCGTCCCTCGGGGAACCCTGTGGGGGGTACTCTGGGAGGATGGGGTACCGGGCCCTTTGATACGGGCTGTTAGGTCCCTGTATGACCGGTGTCAGAGCCTGGTCCGCATTGCCGGCAGTAAGTCGGGCTTGTTCCCGGTTAGAGTTGGACGCCGCCAAGGTTGCCCTTCGTCACCGATTCTGTTCATAACTTTTATGGACAGAATTTCTAGGTGCAGCCAAGGTGTTGAGGGGATCCGTTTTGGTGGCCTTAGGATTGCGTCTGCTTTTTGCAGATGATGTGGTCCTATTAGCTTCATCAGATCGTGATCTACAGCTTTCGCTGGAGCGGTTCGCAGCAGAGTGCGACGCGGACTGGATGAGGATCAGTTCCTCCAAATCCGAGGCCATGTTCTTGAGCCGGAAAAGGGTAGAGTGCCCTCTCTGGGTCAGGGAGGAGGTCCTGCCCCAAGTGGAGGAGTTCAAGTATCTTGGGGTCTTGTTCACGAATGAGGGAAAAATGGAGCCTGAGATCAATAGGCGGATAGGTGCAGCGTCTGCAGTGATGTGGGCGCTGTGCAGGTCTGTCGTGGAGAAGAGAGAGCTGAGTCAAAAGGCAAAGCTCTCAATTTACCGATCGATCTACGTTTCTACCCTCATCTATGGTCATGAGCTTTGGGTTGTGACCAAAAGAATGAGATCTCGGATACAAGCGGCCAAAATGAGTTTTCTCCCCAGGGTGTCTGGGCTCTCCCTTAGAGATAAGGTGAGAAGCTCGATCATCCGGGAGAGACTCAGTAGAGCCGCTGCTTCTCCACGTCGAGGAGCCATTTGAGATGGCTCGGGCATCTGTTTAGGATGCCTCCTTGACGCCTCCCTGGTGAGGTGTTCCGGACATGTCCCACTGGGAGGAGGCCCAGAGGAAGACCCAGGACACGCTGAAGGGACTATGTTTCTCGGCTGGCCTGGGAACGCCTCGGGATTATCCCGGAGGAGCTGGACCAAGTGGCTGGGGAGAGGGAAGTCTGGGCCTCCCTACTTAGGCTGCTACCCCTGCAACCCGACCCCAGATAAGCGGAAGAAAATAGATGGATGGATGGAATTTTTGTACAGTGCTATGAGATGACTTGGTTGAATGAATGACTTGTTGTAAACTGCTGCAGTATGAACTGCTGAATAGAACTGAATTAATTATTGAGTATCATATCAGGGGCCTGTTTGGTTTATCTTGGTGGGGATGACGTTGCTGGACCTTTGATTTATTGTTCAAGCAAATACTTTTAAAAAATTGGACATTTCACATGTGAGCAAAGTAAACGTCGTGTATGCTGGACTACTGGAGTGTAGGATAACACTCCAGTAGTCAATTACATGCCAGGGAGACAGAAAAGTGGGTGAAGAATTTATCTGACAGACAGCTCACCCAGCCAGAGACAGAGATTCTTGCCAGGGGACTGAACTTTGCGGTTGCACCAAGTAGAATTCCTCTGGTGGAGATGATCACAGCTACTGAGTCAGCCATCCGCAACAACAAAATTAAAGAGGCTGAAGCAGAACAGCTCAGAATCAAAGTTTCAGCCTGCCTCAGCAATGCCAAACCACCAACTTCCAACATCAGTAGAGAGGAGAGGGACGCACTCACCACTCTTAGCAAGGACAAAAACATCATCATTCTCCCAGCAGACAAAGGAAGGTTCACAGTGATTTTGAACCAGAAAGACTATCATGAGAAAGTTATGACACTCCTTAGTGACGTAAACACTTATGAACCTCTGAAAAGAGATCCAGGAAGTGATTACAAGAAATTGATAGATTGCCTGAAAATTTTGGAGCAGGACAAGGCTATTGACCGTTTTCTGTACCACAGACTGTACCCAGGGGAGGCCACACCTAGTCTGTATGGTTTACCTAAAATCCACAAACAAGGTGTACCTTTAAGACCAATCGTTAGCATGATTAACTCTGTCACTTGCAATGTTTCCAAATATCTGGTGTCTGTACTCATCCCTTTAGTTGGCAGCTCAGAACACCACATACAGAACACCATGGACTTTGTGGATAAGGTGAGGGATGTCATCATGGAGAATGATGAAACAATGGTCTCTTTTGATGTCACATCACTCTTTACGTGCATTCCTGTTGATGATGCAGTAGAGGTGGTCAGTTTAAAATTAAAATCAGACACCACTCTGAGCAGCAGGACCACGCTTTCCACAGAACAACTGTGTCAACTCTTGAAACTGTGCCTACAGTCAACCTACTTCACATATGGGGAGCAATATTATAGGCAGAAACATGGGTGTGCTATGGGGTCTCCAGTTTCTCCTATTGTTGCCAACCTGTACATGGAGGAGGTAGAAAAGAGAGCCTTGACGTCCTTTTCAGGGACACCACCAAGTCATTGGTTCAGGTATGTTGACGACACCTGGGTTAAAATTAAATCTCAGGAAGTCCAACATTTTACTGACCACATCAACTCTGTGGATAAATACATCAAGTTCACACGAGAAGATGGAAAAAAATGGCAAGTTGGCTTTCTTGGACTGTGAGGTCTCAGTCTCTGATAGAGGACATTTGCAAACTGAGGTGTACCGCAAACCCACACACACAGACCAGTATTTGCAGTTTGACTCCCATCACCCTTTGGAGCACAAGTTAGGAGTCATCAGGACTCTGTATCACAGAGCAGACAGCATCCCCACTAGCTCAGGAGCCAGGCAGAAGGAGAAATCCCACACAAGACAGGCTCTAGAGCAATGTGGATATCCTAACTGGGCCTTCCTAAAAGCAGAGAAGAAACCCAAACAGGACTCCAGTCAGCCAACAGGTGAAAAGGAGGAACCCAGACCCAGACCAGTGGTCATTCCATATGTTGAGGGAGTATCAGAGAAACTGAGACGTTTATTTTCTAAACATAACGTCCCAGTGGCTTTTAAACCCCAAAATATATTACGGCAAAGACTGGTTCATCCCAAAGATCCAGTCCCCCGGCACAAACAGAGTAATGTTGTGTATGCTGTTCAGTGTCAGGAGGGCTGTGATCAGTCTTACATCGGGGAAACAAAACGGCCACTGGCCAAAAGGATGACCCAGCACAGAAGATCAACATCATCAGGCCAGGACTCTGCGGTCTACACTCATCTCCTGGCCAGTGGTCACTCTTTCAGGGATGAAGATGTGCACATCCTGGATAGAGAGGAGCGATGGTTTGAGAGAGGAGTAAAGGAGGCCATCTTTGTGAAAAGAAACCGTCCATCGTTAAACAGGGGTGGAGGCCTACGTGTTCAATTGTCCCCCTCTTACAATGCTGTGATTGCTAGTATCACTCAGCCCTCTGTAAATAGTACACAGCCATCAGTGTGCTAATGATCCATTGTTAGGCTGATGGTCCTTCTTGAGCATGTGATCAGCTGGTTTTGGTTGTCAGCAGCAAAACTGGTTGATCCACTCTGAGAAGGTGCTATTTAAGAGACTGAGCTGAAAACAGCACCTCAGACTGAAGAAGTCTCTCGGACGAGAGACGAAACGTTTCTACATTTTTTGTTGTTTTGCTTTGTTTTGGGTTTTTTTGAATGTCCAAAGGACCAGATTTAACTTTTTTAGATAAACGTTGTGTAGCATTAAATCAACCACCAGAACACAAGTATCTCTACAAAGAATGACTAAAAAAGCTAAAGTTTTGTATATACAATAAACATTATTAACAGCATTGATCTTTTCTCTACTTGAAGGACTTGCAGTAGGACAGACTTACATTGTAGTTTAAAGATAATGCACAATGGTCTTTTTTTTTTTTTTTTAATGGCACACAGAACAGATTTAACTGAACATTCACTTAAGAGCTTACAGAGAGATAGAGCTGCGTCTGTCGTTGCAGGAGGACTGTGTTTTCTCGACACGTCTCCTTCAGGGTTTCAGCTTCCTTCTTCTCTTTACCCAGCTGCACTGAAACATGAAGCAGCTTGTTGGTCTTCAGACTCTCGCTCTCCTTCTCTACAGGACAAGATGAAACATTTGGTTCACTGCTGTCAGAGCAGAACCAACAAACTAGGAAGAAAATGTGACAGCTAACACCAGATGCTTTTAGCATCCCCACCCCATTCAGGCTGATAGTAAGAGAGGAGGCTCAGACACTTCTCCTTCAGATGTTTCTCCAGCTGTCCAAGCAGAACCGGCTTCATTCTCTGCACATTCTGATGAAGACATATAGAGAGACAGAACTAAGGAAAGCTTATTTACAGTATACAACACCTTTCACAAACTGCTTTACACTAGCATAAAGTAGAGTCCAAACAGATAAGAGTAGCACAAATGGCACAGTATCTGTCTGTCTACAAACTATTATACAGCAATACAACAAGCTATAGCAATGGCCCGGACAAGCAAAGACTTTGTATAACTGTTGACCTTGAAGCTATGGTGATGAAAAATATAAACAACACTGTCTAGTGCATATGTATTAAGTTTTGATAAATTATCCTGAGCGGATCAGAAGTTATGGTCCGGACAAGAAAATGTTGTTGGATAATATATTAGTCTTCAATGAAAAAAACAGAAAGTAATAAACTGACATAAATAATTATAAGTAATAATAAAGTATATAAATATAAATTATAAATGATTATAAAGTAAAACCATAACACTAATTAAAGGCCTAGCATTCCTTGAAGGATTATTTATAACCCCCCTCATGTTTTAGGCTAAGATCCCATGTTGAGAAATGACAGTTATAGTGTTTTTGGTCAAACCTTGTTTGTGATGTTAAACAAAGATGTGTGCAAAGAGCATGGCTTAATTTGAGCCGGATCCTGCCGGAACAGGATCCAGGAACTTTTATTTTGACAGGGTGCATTCTGGCAACTGTTTGCTTGGACCCGATAACTCAATTCTCTGCCCCTAAAAGTCAAAAGTCATCACGCATTTTTATAAAAAAAACAAACAAAAACAAAAAAAACTCAAAAATATAATTAAACAGCACACCTAAATTGCAAATCAGTTTGACAGTTTCAGTGTGTTATTAATAAAATTTTGATTATTTATTTAAAAATACAACAAGAGAAATGTTTGATGTGTATTATTCACATCACGTTTCAAAACAACGGTGCTGATTTGTCAAAAATAACGGCGATAGAAATGTCGAAAAGACCGTCTAGTTTACTTTCATTTTAAAAATGGATGGAAGGATTGTTCTTAGTTGGATAAACAAGAATTGAAGCACCTGAAGGCAGTGGTAATTGGAGCAGAAGAGAGTGAGTGGTGTGGGGGTGAATGCCGAGATAACACAGGCAGCGGCCATGGAGGAGTCGCCTGGAAGTTTCACATGTGAGTGGAGTTGGACAACAACATGCAGGACTGAATTCAGTGGATAAGAGTCGGGCTCAGAACAGTGAAGTGTGTGTGTGTGTGTGTGTGGGGGGGGGGGGGGCGGGTTACAATACCCCACATTGCACCCTGTATTCACTGGTTAACTGGACATCATTAACTTCACACAGACTCTCTCATTGGTACATTTTCATCTTTAAATCACTTCTTGGTCTGCTGCCTTCATACATCTCCTCCTACATGTCACTGTGTGAGTGCAGCTACAGCGTGCGCTCTCAGGACATTATTACCTGCAGTGTTCCCTCAGTGAGGACTGAACTAGGCAAAAGGGCCTTCTCCTACTCCGCTCCTCTTTCTTGGAATATCTTGCAAGAAGATCTGAAGCTCTCAACCTTAACCTCTCTAAGTGGCTTCAAACATCTAATAAGTTCCTGGCAAAAACCAGTGCAGACTAGGGCTTTAACAGACTACTCGAGTAATCGACAGGTCGATTCCTAGGACATCTAACGAGTTTTTAAATTTCACGTTGAGTATTTGCAGTGACGTCATTGTGTCACATGATCCGCACCGGGCTACTAGTAGAAGCTACCAAATGGATTCCTCCCAGCAGATGGACTGAGTGGAGCAGGCCCAGTCTTGGCAAACAGGTAGAAATACATCAATAGTCTGGAAATATTTCACTAAAGATGAATCTTCTGGTTCATCTACCATAAGGAAACGAAAAATTCACTTCACCACTTGCTCTAGCCGAGATCGGATGCTTCTCCCCTCCCTCTCCGCTTTTCTTTGCTGCTCTGTCTGTCTGTGAAACTGCTTCTGAGCCTCTCTTGCATTTCTTCCGACCCATAATTATGGACTTGTTTTGATCAGTTGGTCCCTCAACTCAATTTACAACATTTATTAGAAGAAAAGGCAGGCTTCAGGTGAGCCGATTTGCCCTGTTGGCACGCACACAGCTGGATATCTCATCGACTGGAAGACTTGATGATGTGTCTATCTCTGCTGCTATCTGTGGATTTTAAGGACGCATATTTAATTGGATTTTCGATAACTGGTTCCTGCTATTTTGGATTCAGCTGGTGCTGGTTTTATCTACAATCAAGGAAGTCGTCAGCAGCAAATTTGGAACCAATCACGCTGCTTGCCTTTTTGATGGCTTGGTTCGTGTCTCGAGTACCCGGACTCAAATGCTTTGGGCTGAATGGATCAGATCTTGGGGATTTTACCCCGTCACGTTCCATTGGTGTGGCCATGTTATTTTGGACATTTTGGAACCGAGTTGACCAACACAGACCCAAATAGATGTCATTAAGTTCTGCCTGTCCCCCAAAACAACTGTGTGTTTATCTAAGTTGGCTCCCTTGGCTGGCCTTGAAGGCCACCTTATCTGAAATCGCCTGGAGAAAATGTGATCCGACGCTCACCACCCCCTCCATGAGGAATTTCCAACTGATAACCAGATGAGCCAGCTGAATAAAATGTTTGTCATCATTTCAGGACTCTTGGATTCTCATAGAGGTTATTCTTGGCCATTCCTCGACATACCTCGAGAATGTTTATGGATCTCACCGAAGGACACTGACTGATTACAGTGACCTCGAGAGCATCTATAAGCGTTGTTGACAGCTCTCGTATCCGATTGCATATTGTCTATATAAATATGTGCTTGTTTGTGCGAGGTGTTTTTTTAATATTAGAGGGTTTTTTTCCTCAGGCAAGAAAAAAAAAGTCTGATAGGAATTTTTTTCGCTTCCAACTCCTACATGTGTCCAGTTAACCACTGTTTTTTGTTTCTCCAAACAGGTCTCACTTGTAAATGAGTCTTCGAGGCTCATTGTGATTTATCTGTTTAAATAAAGGTTGAATGAATGAAAAAAAAAAAAAGAATCAACTTCCTGACTGTTTGGAGCTCGTTGAGAACCGGTGTTATACCATATTCTGTGACCACCGTATATTGTGACCATAGGGGGCGGTGTTGCATGCACTGTTGCAGGTCACAAAATATGGTGCAACACCGGGTCCAATCAACCGAACCAGAACCAGCTTCCTTCTGACACTTGTTTCACAAACAAAAAGCAAAAAATATTAATCTCTAAACTTATAAAAACTTATAAAGATATCAATCTCTAAAACTAAACCTAATGTGCCCCACAGCTGACGGTGGTGCAGGGTGGTCATCCGCCCTGTTGTTTTTAGTTTTGTTTTTGATGTGATTTACGTTATTTCTTTCACTTTTGCAGTTTAATAATAATAACTAATAATTTTGGTTTTCCTGTGACTTATTTGCAGTATGATAAATGGTAGGAGCATAATATATGCTCCCAATGTTTTTTTTTTTTTTTTGTAAATAATAAATGACGGGGGTTTTTCGGTTTTATATTTTATTAATTTTTTCATCTAGAGATCCTATGACGTCATCAACTACTTGAGCTCTACTCGAGTTTTATTATGTTAATGTCGAGTTTAAAAATTATGTAGTCGTTCAACCCCTAATGCAGACATGTTCCTGTTTTTAGTTTTCTACATCGCCTTACAACCTAGCCGTTTTTATTTCTGTTTTTAATACTGTATTGTGAAATTCTTTATCAAAAGGGCTCGTGAAACGGTCGGCACAGATATTCAGACGATGGAAAAAATGACAGAAGCTGTTACTGCTAGGATAAATTAGTGTCCTTTATTATCCTGCCACAGAGAACAGCCAAGCAAAAAACATGTACACTCTTAACACACAGAATGATATGAAAGAACTTCTCACCGTGACACTGGCCGGGAAGCCGTTTTCGACCCAGGTAAAGAAGAAATCACATCAAAATTGCGGATGGCACCAGAGCTCTGGTCCACACGAGACTTCCAACTCTCTGTTGTCTGATACATTTCTTATAAAGGCTTCCCTGATCGCGTGAGAGCAGATCAAAACAAGTTTGATGGTTACCAGAACAACGGATGAGGAGCTGGTGATTTATTACAAATAAGGAGCACGGTGACCTCAAGGCGGGCCAAGACCTTGAAGTTAGCAATACTCCTTAAACTTCCTAAAGAGGAAATACGCACTCCTCCATCCCTCTGCAAACCATCAAAGAATGTCCCAAATATTAACAAAGGCAACATAAATCATTCCCCCCTTTGTCTCTGTGACATGTTAAACAAAGTACAATCCCTAATATGTGAATAACACGTTGTATAAGTGTGTTTAAATAAGTATAATATAAGTCTAGATTGACATAAAAGCATTAAAATAATAATTTCTATATCAAATACCATTTTCCTTTCATTTATTCTTCTCAATTTACAGGTCTTTCTCAATAAATTATCATATTGTGATAAAGGTCATTATATTCCATAATGTAATGATAAAAATGAAACTTTCATATATTTCAGATTCATTGCACACCAACTGAAATATTTCAGGTCTTTAATTGTTTTAATACTGATGATTATGGCATACAGCTCATGAAAACCCAAAATGCCTGTCCCAAAAAATTAGCATATCATGAAAAGGTTGTCTAAACAAGCTATTAACCTAACCATCTGAATCAACGACGTAACTCTAAACACCTGCAAAAGATTCCTGAGGCTTTTAAAAACTCCCAGCCTTGTTCATTACTCAAAACCACAATCATGGGTAAGACTGCCGACCTGACTGCTGTCCAGAAGGCCATCATTGACACCCTCAAGCAAGAGGGTAAGACACAGAAAGAAATTGCTGAAGGAATAGGCTGTTCCCAGAGTGCTGTATCAAGGCACCTCAGTGGGAAGTCTGTGGGAAAAGTGTGGCAGAAAACGCTGCACAACAAGAAGAGGTGACCGGACCCTGAGGAGGATTGTGGAGAAGGGCCAATTCCAGACCTTGGGGGACCTGCGGAAGCAGTGGACTGAGTCTGGAGTAGAAACATCCAGAGCCACCGTGCACAGGTGTGTGCAGGAAATGGGCTACAGGTGCCGCATTCCCCAGGTCAAGCCACTTTTGAACCAGAAACAGCGGCAGAAGCGCCTGACCTGGGCTACAGAGAAGCAGCACTGGACTGTTGCTCTGTGGTCCAAAGTACTTTTTTCAGATGAAAGCAAATTTTGCATGTCATTCGGAAATCAAGGTGCCAGAGTCTGGAGGAAGACTGGGGAGAAGGAAATGCCAAAATGCCAGAAGTCCAGTGTGAAGCACCCACAGTCAATGATGGTCTGGGGTGCCATGTCAGCTGCTGGTGTTGGTCCACTGTGTTTTATCAAGGGCAGGGTCAATGCAGCTAGCTATCAGGAGATTTTGGAGCACTTCATGCTTCCATCTGCTGAAAAGCTTTATGGAGATGAAGATTTCATTTTTCAGCACGACCTGACACCTGCTCACAGTGACAAAACCACTGGTAAATGGTTTACTGACCATGGTATTACTGTGCTCAATTGGCCTGCCAACTCTCCTGACCTGAACCCCATAGAGAACCTGTGGGATATTGTGAAGAGAAAGTTGAGAGACGCAAGACCCAACACTCTGGATGAGCTTAAGGCCGCTATCGAAGCATCCTGGGCCTCCATAACACCTCAGCAGTGCCACAGGCTGATTGCCTCCATGCCACGCCGCATTGAAGCAGTCATTCATGCAAAAGGATTCCCGACCAAGTATTGAGTGCATAACTGAACATGATTATTTGAAGGTTGGCGTTTTTTGTATTAAAAACTCTTGTCTTTCATTGGTGGGATGAAATATGCTAATTTTTTGGGACAGGCATTTTGGGTTTTCATGAGCTGTATGCCATAATCATCAGTATTAAAACAATTAAAGACCTGAAATATTTCAGTTGCTGTGCAATTAATCTGAAATATATGAAAGTTTCATTTTTATCATTACATTATGGAAAATAATGACCTTTATCACAATATGCTAATTTTTTGAGAAGGACCTGTATATGCTTCCTTTTATGATCGTCTACTGTTGTCATCATTCTTTGTGTAAATCAGGTCTCTCTTGTAAATGAGTCCATGAGGCTCAATGAGACTAACCTGTATAAATAAAGGTTGAATGATTAAATGCAAACTCCACCCAGAAAGGCCCCCAGCTGGGATTTGATCCAAATACCTTCTCACTGAGAGGCGGCAGCTCTACCAACTGAGCCACCGTGCCACCCTACATTCAGCTGCTTCCCCACCAAATTTTAATAGAATTCGTGTAAACCTGGCTCATCTACTGGGTTAGCATTTTGCTACTTTTATCTTTTGTAACACAATTTCAGTGAAATCGTTCAGCATGCAGCATTTTCACAGGAAATGCAACTTCTCTATTGTCATTTAGCTGCGGTGGCCATCTGGACTTGGGGTGAGCTCAAAAGTGAATCAGTTATGTATATGAAAATAATTAATTCCTTAAAGCTTCACTTAAAACTGATTCGGTGGTTCAAGCAATGTTGTGCCAACAGTAGGCCTGTCACAATAACCAATTCTGCTGGGCGATTAATTGTCTCAGAAATTATTGCGATAATATTGTTTGAAATTTGACAATAATTAGTAATTATAGTCAAATTTAAGAAGAAATGTTGGCTAATTTGTTTTGAGTGTAGTACTTTTTTGTGACCACTGGATGGCAGTATAAGACTGAACCAAAGGATGGATAGTGAGGGAGCGAGCAGTGTGTCGCTTTAAGAAAAATGGGAGGGAGGCCCCTTGATGTGACATGGGCTGTCTCTCTTTGGTTCTCAAAATGGCAGCTGCTCGGTGTGGTTTGAGCTCTTTAGCATAGCATTTTTCACACAAAGCTTTTAATTTAAAAAAAATCAGTAAACAAGTTCTCAGCTTCTTTTTTGCAGAGAAAAACAACTTTTTACACGAAGGCACAGATTTCAACAGTGAATTTTGGAGCTTTAACAAGACGGAGGTTTTTACTCGAGGTCGGCCTGTTAGCTTAGCTCGTAGCTTACCTTCTCAGCTTAGCTGCTTTAAATGATCCAAAAATGTGATTTTGGATCATTAAAACAGATTTTTAAGAGAAAGGGAGGAGTCAGTGAAGAGCACTGGAGTTGAGCTTTTTGTCATCCAGTGTCTTCAGTAGAAAGAGACACAAAGAAACGATAAAGCCAATAAATGAAAATGAGGTTGATAATTTTCATTTATCATGCGATTAATTGATTTATTGGTTATCGCAACAGACCTAGCCAACAAACAGGCGCACAGACGGACATGAGTTAAAACAATATTATCCTTTCTTTTGCAGGTGATAACCAGAACTGTGAACTCTACCGAGTTTCTACCTAATCTTCTGTTAAAAAAAAGAAAAAAAAACAAGAAGAAAGCTGGAAGAAGCAAAACATCAAAAGTTCCTTTGACTTACCGTCTTGGCAGGCATCAGCTCCATCACCTGTTGGGGGGTCAGGCCCAGTACAAGAGGCTGGTCCTGGTTTGTGGTGCTGCTGGGATCCAACTGTCTGACACCCTTAGCCACCAGCAGACACCTCTGCAACGTTTCATAAAACTGAAAGAAAACAGATCAAATGTGATCTGAATGCAGCTGTTAATGAGCAGCAGCACGCGGGTTGAAAAAATTGTACTTGTTTATATAGATACAGCTTTAATTACCAAAAATACATTTGATTCTCCACAATTTACTGATAATCCTTTGTGTGATTTGGACTATGTAAATGAGTTAAAAGGCACCGTGTTCTGATCAGGGGGGTCAGTGGCTTGGTGCTTCCTGACACAGTGGTCCTGGATCATCTCCTGCAGTCCTCTGTAGAGGCTCTCAGAGCGAAGCCACTGGCGCTTCTGGTTCTGTAGCTTCTGCTCTACCTACAGAGATTCACAGAACCAGCCCATAAACGCACACACCAGACCAACATAAACAGTCCAACAATTATACAAGCCCTGACAGATAACCTCAGTTCTTGTCTTGTGTTATAAGTACAAGGAAGTGGCACTAAAGCAAAACACTACCTTCTCCAGCTCTGTTTTCAGAGGGACAGTGAGTCCAGTTTTGTCCACATGTTGAGTCAGAGCAGCCAGCAGTTTGCAGAACTGTGGGTTCTGGGTCAAATCTTCCTTGGTCATGTCACACAGAGGGAAGGAGGCAAGAACTGTGCAGTGGAAGGAAGGTTAATGGTACAAAGAATCGAATCGCCACAATAAATATTTCAGATCTCAAAAATAATTCTTTCTGTGATCATGGTTCATTTTCAGATGCAGAAACTCATAAATATTTCTTGATCCGACAGAAACATGTGAATATCTAAAACAAGACACACGGCTCAGATGTCTTCATCATAGTTGTTGTTTATTTCAGTTCATATTGTTGTGTTAAAATGGCATCAAGCAAACATTTTGTAGATACTTTTTTTGTTGAAATTTTTAGAAATGTTGTAATTGTATTTGTATCCAAATACTTATTTAAAAAGTCTTTAGTTGATCCAAAATGCTGCTGTCAGAGTCTTAATTGGAGTTAGTGGGAGAGATCATATCTCTCCAGTTTTAGCTTCTCTCCATTGGCTCCCTGTCAAGTCCAGATCTGAATTCAAAATCTTACTTCTAACCTACAAAGCTCTCAACAACCTAGCTCCATCTTATATTACAGATCTTATTGTTCTATATTTTCTAACAGAGCACTTCACTCTCAGACTGCAGGCTTGCTTATTGTTCCTAGAGTTTCCAAAAGCAGAATGGGAGGAAGATCTTTCAGTTGCCTTAAGCTTAAACTACTAGAAGACAAACTGACCTCGTTTCCTTAAATGAATTAAAATTGAATAGTTTTTGATACTATTTCTATCTTAACGTGATTCTTGACCTGCCATTGTGTATCTGTTCATCTCAAACCCGGCTGGTTGAAGGAGCTTGTCCTGAGCCTGGTTCTGCTAAAAGTTTCTTCTTCATGGAGTTTTCCACTGTCGCCTTCATGGTTGCTCAAGATGAGATGTTCTGCAATGGAGTTAAATTCAAAGCCGTCTGCTCCTCAGATAAATAATGTTAAATTATTATTTTATATGTGAATGTTTCTGTTCAGTGCCCTGAGATGACTTCTGTTGTCAATTGGTGCTATATAAATAAACTGAATTGAATTGTATTGCTGGTAGTCATTAATTGCTTATTTGAAAATGTTTTTTTTAACCAGTTACTATAAAATCTAGACACTCCTGATTAAATTTGGCTTAATCATGTTTTGTCTTTTAATTCCTCGTCGCAAAGCAAAGAGCAGGAATTAGTCCAGGGTTTGTTTGTTAGTATGTTTTAATGTGTTTTTAGTATGTTAGTAGTATGTTTTGTATGTTTTTCTTAGTATGTTAATAGTATGTTTTTCTTAGTATGTTAGTAGTATGTTTTTCTTAGTATGTTAGTAGTATGTTTTTCTTAGTATGTTAGTAGTATATTTTTAGTAGGTTTTTAGTATATTTGCTGCATGCTTTCATATTTCTTGTTGGGTTATTTTTTGGCGAGTCAAGACAGTTCTTCTCGTCCTAAGCATGTCATTACATTGTTGACCTTGTGTTGATTTTGCACATGACAAACAAATCTAACCACTTGAATATCTTGCACCAAAAACGTTGGTTACGTACTGTAACCCCAGATTCTATGAGTATAGGCGCAGCCCTTTAAGACTGTCGCTGGTGGGGTTATCCCTAGGCGCTCAGCGCTGCACTGAAAAAAATTTAGTCCACACCCACCTGCTGTGTGTGGGCCTCACCTCCGGTCCGTAAAAATTACGGTGAGACCGGGTAATCGACTCCCAAAATAGCTTTTTTCTTCAGCCATTTAGGAACCAGTGAGGCCCAGAGCTTAAAGGGCTGCGCCTATACTCATAGAATCTGGGGTTACAGTACGTAACCAACGTTCTATTTCGTACAGGCTTCGCCCTTTAAGGCTGTCGCTGGTGGGTTAAAGGCGAAGCAGGATGTAGTCTATGCCTCACTGGGTCCACTCAGACACAACATGAAGCACCTGCTTGCACAAAATAAATTTCATCACTCAGCCTTCTGTGTGCGTAAATACGCGCTGTGTAATTGCGTGCTCCATGTGCAGGAGCGCACCAGAGAAAAGGTCTCTGGTGAGGAAAAGAGGCTGAGATAACAGACCTGCTGCTATGAATAAGAACAACTTAGGATACGAATTGTAACAGTGTAACGATGAACAGAGCAGATCAACAGCTCCTCATGATGAACCGATTAATAACAATAAAATCATCAGTCATGAACTTGTGACTGATAATAAATATCTCACACTGTGACTGCATGCAGGCAGGTCTGAGCTCAAAAGTGAAGCTCCATGAAACAAATAATAATCATTCTGTCAGAACCCTGAGAACAGAATGGGTCATGGAGAAAGTAGAAACATCACGTAGATAAAAATGAATAATTGAACATGGCGATGACCAGGCAACCACCATACAAATATCCTCCACTGTCATCCCTCCATGCAGAGCCATGGAGGATGAAAACCCTCTGGTGGAGGATCCAGTCCGGATGAACTGTAAACTTCAGAAATAGCCTCACACAACCAGTGTGAGAGGCGCTGGGTGGATAGAGGACGTCCTGAAGAGTTGTCCCAGTAATGCACGAACATACGCTGAAAACGGCGCAGTGCGGCCGTGTGCACCACGTAACATGAAAAATGCATGAATGGGACAGAAGGAGGTGAGATGTTGCTTCCTCCTCAGAATTATGAGGACGAGGATAAAACCCCATCCAAGGTTATCAATCTCGATCTGAATGAGCTTGTGATGCTTTTCAGAGCACGGTTAAAACGCAGTACAGCTGAACTGCCGTCAGCTTGAATTCTGAGACATGAGGGAGCAACAGAGAGAGCAAACAAACACTCGCTCTCTTTGCCAACGTCAGAGCTAACAGCAGGGCTGATCTAGACACTTTGATCAGAGCGTGCAGGACCATCATTAGGTCTCACTGTGAAGCTAGTGGACGTGACACCGGTCTGTGTCTCTGTACACCTTTCAGGAAACGCTTCATCAACAGGTGATTAAAAACTGTTCTGTCACTGAAGCCCTCGTGACAGGAAGAAATAGCTGAAGCGTAAGTTTTAATTGTGCTGAACGCTAGATCTCTGTCCATCAGCTGCTACAGAAAGCACAGCATGCCACCTAGTGGCCATGAGATGGCCTCTACACCTTTCTCTGCGCATCAGCACTGAAAAACTGTCCACGTGTACAGCGTTGTGGTGGAAGCAGCTCGTGCACCCTGAACGTACGCACCACATCCTGTGGGAGCCCCATTTTTTCTAAACGAATCTGTTCAGCGGACAGACCCAAAGGTGCTGACCTATTGCTGGGTAACTCCTGATCGCTCTTCCTGCCTGGAGGAGAGCACCCCCCCACAGCAGTTTCCACAGCCGACCCGATATCAGTCGCTGCAGATTCAGGAACCACGGAGCACATATGCGTTCAGGAGCTACGAAGATGACTGACGGTACTTCCTCCCGGATCCGGTCCAGGGTCCGTGATATCGGCAGGACTGGAGGAAACGCATAAAGGAGCATTTTTGGCCATGGGCTGTGAATGAAGGTGTCCACTCCTAACGGTGGGTCGTCTTGTGGGCTCAGTAAGAACCATAATTGGCACTGGGCGCTCTCCCGTGTGGCGGACAGATCCACTGCTGCTCGTCCAAACCTGCTCCAAAAACCGAGGAATCAGCTCGGGATGGAGGCTCCAGTCTCTGTGGCGGGGACCGCCCCTCGACATGATATCCGCTCGCCTGTTCAGGAACACTGGGAAAGTCCACTGCTCTGATGGAGAGCAGGTTTCTGTGTGCCCAACACAACAGCTGTTTTGCAATGTGTCAGAGTTAGGCTGAGCACACGCCTCCCTAACGGTTTATGTAAACTGCCGTCACTTGTTGTCTGTGTGGATCAGAAAATGCTGATCACGCAGCAGGGGCAAAATGCTGAACCACGTTTCAGACCGTGAAAAACATTCTAGCACATTTATGTAAAGCGACATGTAGTCCAACCACTGTGCTCCCACTGCTTGGGACAGAAACATTCCTCCCAGCTTGACAGGAACGCGTCTGTGAAAAAAACTGAGACGTGTGATGTAGGCCTGCTGATAGAAACTCCCTCTGACAGAATGAGGGGGTTTCCCCAGTGATTCAGATCGGTTCTCACAGAGTGGGGCACAAATAATCCACCTCTTCTGGCGCACAGGATCTATGCGCAGGTTGGTGAACCATCTCTAAGGCGTCTCATGTGAAGTAAGCCCAGCAGAACCACGATGTGGGCCGCTGACATCGTCCTAGGAGTTGAATGACAGGCAGACTGTCACTATGCTGCAGGGTTTGACACGGTGGAGCTGAGCTGATAGAGCTTCGGCTCTCAGCTGTGATAAATGGCTCTCATTGTAGTTGAATTTAGCTTCACTTCCAGATAAACAATCATCTTGGACGGACGAATGGAAGTTTTTCCCAGTTTAAAGAAAACCCAGGTTTAGCAGGTATAACACTAGCGTTTTGGTCTGTGCAACAGCTTTCTAACTGGACCGAGCTAATAAGAGCAGATCATCCAGATAAAAAGATTTCTCATTCCTGCTGTGTAACGACTGCAAAGCTGTCTTCACGCATTTCGAGAACGTGCGTGGGATGTTTCAGAATGATGGAAATGTGAATATGTGCACTCTTCAGATCTATGGAGGTGAAAACCAGTCGTTCTGGTGAAGTTCTCCAGCAGCTGTTTGTCAGCATGTAGAATTGTCTCCCCATGATCGAATTGCTGAATATGAACAGGTTGAGAATGGGTCTCATCCCTCCGTTTTATTTATCAGAACCAGGAAGTAGTGGGAGGGAAAAAAAACGTATTTTCCTCTCTGTTGGGAACTCTGGAAATCACGTTTTTCATCAGAAATTCTTGAACTTCTGACTGGAGAGAAGAGCTCTGTTCTGGAGAAGACAGAATCATCTCTATAATCCCTCTGAACGGTGGGGGTTGAGCTGCGAACTGCAGCGTGTAACCCCTTCTGATCAGATGGTCCGTCCATCTGTCCAGGGAACATACTCGCTGCCACTCTGAGTAGCGCTCGGAGAACGGGCATGCATTTGTGTTGTATCATGTTTCTCATGAACATCAACCAGACTAAAAATCCTTACTGCCATCACTCGCTCTAGAGATTCTCCGGGGGAACCCAATGGGGGCTCTGACAGAAAAAAGGGCTGTATGTGTGCCTCTGTGCTGGGCCCAGGCTGCGGTCTTACATAGAGCCGAAGTGAGCCGGCGCGCACCAAGAGGAGGCATGAGCGCTTTCTGAGTGAGTCGCCGTTTCGGTGGAGGTTGCAGCTGTCGTGGAGAAAACACGTTTACTCCCGCTGCGCTGTAAGTGGGCAGAAAACAGCAGAAATTAAAATGGGCTCTGGCTGAAAAACGAGGGATTTTACCGGACTCGGTCTACTAAAAAAAAAACATCATTTAGCTGACTCAGAGACCTCCTCGGACCTCTGCGATTTCTCAAGGATGGTCCTGAAGTTGGCCACGAACAGCGCCTCTGGGGTGATGGGGCCCTCCAGCAGGTCTTTCTGCAGCCTCTCTGACAAGGATGGCGAGAGGCGGAGCCAAGTGGTCCTCTGGATCATGGTCATCCAGGCGGCGATGCGGGACAGGCAGATCACAGAGGTGGCACATGTTTAAGATGACATCAGCAGCGCTACAGAGAGAGCTCTCGTCTCCTCCAGCAGGTCTGCTTCCTCCAGCCTCTTAGAGATGCTGTAGGCCAGCAGGGTGACGGTGTTCGCTGTGGCCGTCTGGAATGAGCACTGGTGAGCTCGGTTGGAGACCTTGTCACCATCTGGTCATGCTTCCCTGGAGGGACAGGTTGCTGGTCCATCCTGGAAGCTTTTGCCCCAAGTATCACTGCCAGTCTTGGCACCGGGGGTGGGGAACCGAAGGAAAAACACAGATCGGTAAAACCCTCCACTCTGGAGATGGAAGTGAAGGTGGAGACGGATGTCTTCAGCTTGCTGGCACAGCTGCAGCCTCGTTCCAGTGTGACGTCACAGCTGGACAGCGAGGCCAGATGTGGTCAGGGCGACGAGTCGGGTCGGAGCCAACCTTGCCGCCAGATCATCCGATTAGGGCGGAGGGATGCGAGGGACGGAAAGTCCCTTGTGTTAACATCCTCCTGGATTAGGCCGGGCAGCTCCGAGAGGAGGGCGCCGACGGCTGGGAGCAGTGTGGTCGCTGACGTAGGAAGATCCGAGATGGCTGAGCATCGGCTTGGCCATGCGTCTTCCGTCACTATGCTCTCCAGGAGGGAAGGGGCAGCTCCGCATTGTCTTTCTCGGAGGAATCATTTGATTCACTGCGTGACCCTGCGTCAAAGAAGGCGGTGGCGTCGTCCCGTGCATAGCGTCCCACCACAGAAAAAAAACCACTCAGCGGAGCTGCTGCTAACATCGCCTTTTTCAAGTAAACCATTCGATTACCGCGAGGACCAAACACGTTAGAAAAGGCGGTGGCGTCGTCCAGCGAGTAGCGGCCCGCCACAGAAAAAACATTCAGTGGGGCTGCTGCTATCATCGCCTTTTTCGAGGAAATCATTCGATTATTGCGAGGACCAAACACGTTAGAAAAGGCTGTGACGTTGTCCAGCGGGTAGCGGCCCGCCACGGAAAAGCCCTCCTCGGCGCTTACCTTGAACAAGGCTGTTCGTCTGCTTCTCCTTGGGGAGGAAGAGCTCACCGGGACGGCAGGATGTTGGCATGGCGGAGACCCAGGCATTCTTAGCAAAGGTTGTGCCGGTCAAAGCAGGACAACTTTTCCTTCTTCATTCTTCTGACAGTGCTAGCTGGCTGAAGAAAATATGGGGAGCCGATTACCCGGTCTCACCGTAATTTATACGGACCGGGGGTGACCCCCACACACAGCAGGTGGGCGTGGACTAAAGTTTTTTCAGTGCAGCGTTGAGCGCCTAGGGATAAACCCACCAGCGACAGTCTTAAAGGGCGAAGCCTACGAAATAGAACATTAAGGTTTACTAGCAGTCCCTGTTCAATTCTAGTCCAGAAAAACTTGAACTCATCTTGAAAAGTACAAACATTCACTGTTGAAATGCCTGAGTTTGACTATGTAAAGACAATATACAAAAAAACAGCGTAACAAAAAACAAAAAGAACCCAGTACAACTTTTTTCCTATCGTTCTATGAATGAATACATATCACCCGCCACCTTTCATGCCAAAGTTTTAGACTGAGATCATCTCAGATGAGATCATCTCATGGTCAAACCTTGAAAAGGACATTAAGCATCATCTCAGAACAATCGTGCCCTCACGATTTGAGTTGTGAGTGACTCTCAGCTACCACCAGATCAAACTTTAGCTAAATATCTCAAATGGAATGAGGTAAAGTAATTTTTGTGTCAGCTAAGGTCGATTGGGTGTGGCAGCCATCTTGAATGGGGTTGATTAGTGTCTGATAGTTTCATTCCGCCCAGTGGTTCATAAGATATTTTGCTAACAGACACCAGAGCACACAGAAACGACAATGGTGAACAAAAACAAGTATCTGGTTTCAAACTCAATATTATCAAAGGATATTATAAAATATAAAAGTCAAGACTCATCGTAAGAAATTTGTTTTAAAAAATGAAATGCATTCTGGGTATGTGTGGGTTCGTTGTACACAGAAAGATAAAATATTCAACTAAATTTAAAGATTTTACAGAGAAAAAAAACTATCAAAGCTAGTTAAAGGTTCATATTATTCGGCGGCTTTGCATTATTGTTCAAGCACTGTGTGTATACTTTAAATCTTTTTAACCATTTCTAAGATTCAAAATAAAATGTAAGTTACATTAAGTTCGTTTTCTTACCCTGCTGATGTAAACTCTCCTCCTGTCCGAACAACATGACGTTTGTTGCGTCAGAGCCGTCGGACATTTTCGGCTGAATTAGTTTTAATAGAAGCAAAACGAGAGTAATTTATTTTCTCACAAAGCGGTGTAAACATGTAACTTCCTGAATTAAGTTGCGCGCGCCTACAAGACGCCTTCCTATTGGTACGCTGTGTCACGTGGCCAGATCGCGGACACGACTTTTTGGCGAGAACGCGCTCACGCTACAATTAATCAGCAGGGTTTTGGAAGAAAAATAATAAAAAATAATTGATAATATCGTCATTACCTTAATGATCTTTCTCAAAAATCAAATTATATTATTTACTTGGAGAATTGAGTAACATGAAACTGTTAAAGTTTTTTAATTTAATTTTAATTATTTATTCTCTGTTAACTTAAAACAAGCAAAACACATCAGAATTCAATTCAGTTTATTGTATAGGGTCAAGTCACAACAGAAGTCATTTCAGGGCACTGAACAGAAACATTCTTATATATAAAAAAGTAAGTTAATAACATTATTTATGTGAGGAGCAGACTGCTTTGAGTCTTAACTTCATCACAGATTCTCATCAGAACTAGATTATAGAAACAAATCTTCATGAAGAAAACCATCCTTCCATCCATCCATCCATTATCTTTACCTGCTTCTTCCTTTTTGGGTTGCAGTTGGGGTCACTGGTGGTGCCCATGTCCAGCATTCATTGTGTGAGAGGCGGGGGACACCCTGGACATGTCTCTAGTCCATCATAAAGACAAATGAGATAAACAAACATTCACTCTCTCACTCACACCTAGAGACGATTTAGAGTTACCAGTCAGTCTAACATGCATGTTTTTGGTCTGTGGGAGGAAACTAGAGTACCTGGAGAAAACCCACGCATGCACGGAGAGAACATGCAAACCACCCAGAATGGCCCCCTAGTCGAGATTTGATCCGGCAACCTTTTCTCTGAGAGGTGGACACTCTACCAACTGCACCACTGATGAAAAAAAACCACAGGGCAAAATCAAAATACAACTCAAATTGTATACTGATTAGTTTTATTATTATTATTTTTAATAGTCTTTACAGATCTGTCAAATAACTTGTTTGCTTTTTATTATGTTTTATTATTTCTCTTCAATGTGAACAACTAGTTCTTGCTGTCAGCAGCAAACTGGTTGGTCCACTATGACAAGACTTTATAAGATTTGATGAGTTTTCTTGCAGGGTTTCAGACTGAAGAAGTCCTTTGGATAAAAGACGAAACGTTTCAACAAGAAGAATCCGTCCAGAGGACCTGACTTAACCTTGGTAGATTTTTCTACCTGGATTATTGAGCATGCATCAGGACACTTTCAACTAATCTTGACCAGAGAAGATACAAAACTCCTGGATTTCTAAGTTCATCCAAGGCCAGTGATGCTGTGAACAACATGGTTCCTTCTAATTCTGTCATATAATCCTGAAGACATGGAGGTTTTTGAATGCAGGATGAAATCAATGCAACTCCAGACGCCATTCTTGAAATCCAGCAGTACATTTTGACAACAACAGATCAAGAACACAGAATCCTTTAGAATATTGGAAGAATCAGAAACACTCTTGTCCGTATACCCAACAAACTGCAATAACCTTTTTTAATACTTCCCGCTCATCTTTACTGTGTGAAAAAGTATTTTTCAAAGCAGGAGAACTGGTCTCAAAGATACAACATCACTTTGGGCCCAACAAAATATTCTGTTCCTCAACATGTAAATCTGCTTTGTCCCCTCAACAAGTACAAGCACTGTGTCCTAAACTGTGCGGCTGCAGAACACCACCTCAGGGGACAGTCCTCTCTCAGTTTCTGTTCACCCTCTACACCTCGGACTTCAGGTACAACTCACAATCCTGCATCTGCAGAAGTTCTGGATGACTCTGCTATTGTGGGCTGCATCACTGGTGACCAGGAAGCTGAATACAGAGGTGAGGTGGACAGAACCCCCTGCCACTCAAAGTTGGAAAAACTAAAGAGCTGCAGGTGGACTAGAGGAAGA